CCCCCCCCAAATCCGGGATTGTTGAGATTTTAACTTTTTACTTGGGGAAACAAGTTACTTGTGCAGTTCAGCTTTTGACGTTAAGGTCACCCTTGGGCATCTATGTACCCCAAGTTCTCAATTATAATGCAGTGAACTCGATAAGACTTCCAGGCACCAGGGAAAGCTGGGTTCCTTCCTTTAACAGGAAAATGCAGCACCATTCTCTCTGCCCTCTCGGAAAGAGCACCTCGAGCCAGTGTCACCTCTGGGTTTCCCTCCTGGAACACCTGAGAAGGCAGTGGGTCCACCCGTCCATCATCCCCTTAATCGACGAAAAGATTTAAAAGTGTAAGCAGTGCAGACTTCTTTTTCGGAGCCCCATTTCCGATTTCTTTCTTTTTAATTGGAAGCGGAAACACCAGGCTGGTTTTGAGAGTAGCACTGGCAGCAAGCAAACCTCCTGTGTGTGGACTTTAGTCCTGTTGAGAAATGTCCATTTTTAATTTTTGCACATTTTCTAATCTGGCATATTTTGCAAACTGATGTAATCTCTTCTATAGAAACCTACACAAGATACCTCAAGTTACTGGCTCCCCAGTATAGCATTATTGTTTCTGTCCTCCCTGCTCAGGTCTCATCACAGAACAGATGAGACACTTTTCAAGTTATTGCATCTCTTGTGCGCTTTTTGAAGTTGCTGGCCAGCCGGTGCTGGCACTCAGGCCTCAGGGTGCCCCCGGCTCTGGTGATGCCAGGGGACAGTGCAGTGCAGGGTGCAGTGCAGGGTGCAGGACCCAGGAGTGTTAAACTGAGGACTGCATGAGGGCCTGATCTTGAGTCAGATGAGAACCCAATCTTCGATCACCTTAGAGGCACCCTGGGCCCTTCTTAGACTTACGTTTTTCAAGAGGCCAGGCCAGCCCTGAGGTCCGTGTGTGAAGAGCTAGCATCTGCCCTAGACCTGTGAGAGAGGCACCCTCGGCGTAGCCGTCTCTCACGGAATGCTAGCTCTGCCCCGGGCCGGGGGAGGACAGTGCCGAGACTTAGAGAGGTAAGTTCCCACCCCTCCAGCCTCTCTCCAGCTGCAGCTCGCTTGGTGCTGTCAGGATCTGGACTTGGGGGGAGTCTCTCTGTAGTGGAACCAGTGACAGAAGCTGTTCTTTAGAATTTTCAGGATGGCTGTGTTCTGCGGTCAGAGTGAGAGTCAAGCTGGGCAGAATCTCTCGCCAAGAGTTCAGGTAAGGTAATGTTTATTCACTGGGAATGTCTTCCACAGCCAGACAGCTATGCTGACAGTCTGAGTTTTCTCCCAGTCTGTTTAGATTTAAATGATAAATTTGTAACTTTTTTAAAAACTGAATTTTGTTTGGATTTTTAGTGAACGCCTTTTTTTACTTTGCCCCATACGAAATTGTTTGAAATGTCATTGCTCTTTGAAAGCACTATGTGTTAGAAGTTCTTTAATCTGCTGTTTCCTCTTCTCCCCTTTGAAAGTTTTGCGAGGTGTAAACACTGGTTATGTCTTTACCTCCCCTCCTCCCCTGGGAGGGCCGGTGCCCTTAGCCGGTGCTGACAGCCGGCACTGTAAGGTGTGGGAAGGAAGGAGCCCCCAAGCACCACCTGCTGTCTTTGCACGCCTGCCTTTGGAGACCCCACCAGTGCCGGTGTGAGAATGTGCTTCACCGCACGCCATCCTACTGAGTTGCTTCACGGGAGGAGGAGGGGCTCTGCCCCGTGACTCAGTTCCACATTTTGGATGCATATGGAGAAGAAGCCAATCTTCTTGCTAGTAAACCAGCAGCCCGGCTGTATGCAGAGGGAACCCACACACTGCCTATAAGCCAGAAAAATCTGAGGGAGGAGAGGAGTGGGTACGATAGATAGTACTTAGGGTCTGGAACTTCCTGTGTTTGTTCAGTTCATTTAACTGGGGCTGGACGTAATTCTGCTGGGTGGAATCTCCAGGGCTCCGTGGACACCTAGGTGGAGAAACCCTCAGAAAAAGTGAGAACGGACGAGCTCAGAGAGTCTGGGCTTTGAAGACAGCAGTCACCTCCTTGGGATGGCTGTGTCCGTGTCCGGCCTCTGCTCTTGCCTGTCATTCACTGCTGGCTGACAGCTGCAGTAAGCTTTGCTAGGAGGAGCTGGGTGGATGGGATGGGAAGGTGGGTTTCGAGTTAAGTTTTTCTTCCTTTAGTGGTAGGGGATAGGTTTGGCTTTCTTTTCTTGTGGTTTGTTTTATTTTTGCCAAGATCAGTTTTTGCTCCAAGGACTTGAAAAGACTCAAGGATGCCAGCAGTTTTTTCCGAGGCCTAGACTTTTTTTTTATTCTGTCCTGAGCAGAGATAATTTCCTGAGCTTAGTGCACCAGCAGCACTGGCAGTTTTAAGCAGAGTACTTTTTTTGGAGCGTTTTTTGTTTTGCTTTGTTTTAAAATTCTCTTTCCTTAGCAGCAAGGTCTTTATTCCTAAAGAATCCACTCCATTGCAGAATCACTGCAGCTTGGGGAGCCCTAACCGGTGAAGTGCGGTCAGCCTGATGTACTGCTTCGGACTCTGGAAACCGTACTGGTTCTGCTCTGTATTTCCACTGTGTGTAGTTCAAACAGCTGGAGGCCAGCCAACCTGCTGGATGGCCCGCCCTGTATAACTGACTCTGTATGTTCCGCTGTATGTTACTGCGATGCTCCTGCTGTTGTACAGTGTTTGTGAGATGCTCTTTGAAGATGGTGCCTTTATATTTTTTTCATTTTCAATAAAAGTGCATTACCCCCCACTTCTGGTATTTGGTACTGTTGCTGAATGTGCCTGTGTGAGTGCGCTCCGGCGTTCGCAGGACCCCAGAGCTGGAGGTGGCGCTCGGTGGTCTTGGGGGCTGACCGGCTCCCTCCCTGCAGGTGGTGTTAGACATATGCTACCTGAGGTAACTCGTTTTCGTTTTGGGGAGGGGACTGGGGTGTGGGGCAGGCCTGTGGGAGGGCTCTGGATTCTTGATAGTCTGCTTTGTTTGCTCTCTGCTGTACTATTAAATTGCTGATGTTTATTTTCAGGAATGTTTTGCAAATGCACCTCTCACTCTTCCCCAGTACAACTGTAGGTACACTGTTCCTTTTTATCAAATAAGCACGTTTGAAACAGTACAAAGAGAGGTCTTAATTTCATTTAAAGAAATGTATCCATGTGTGGAGATACTGGAATAAGGTCAAATATATACTTTTGAATGACCGTGTGTTTAGAATTAATTTCAGCTCATGGACAGGCTTATGTTACATTAGAAAGAGTAATGGTTTTGATGATGTCCCCAAGGAAGAGATTCAGATTGGACTGACTTCCACAAAACACCCCAAGTAAATTATTGCGGGCAGCTTGTCAGACGCCCAGGTTTTTCTTTGCTTGTTCACTGACCACTGAGCCGTGGAGCAGCCTCTTTCTAACTTAACATAGCACTGCGGCAGCGTGTGGGTACCGTGGGGGTGCTAACAGTGATGTGTGTTTCTCCCTGTAGGCCTTCGTAGTGAAACACCTCTTGGAGTACACCCAGGCAACAGAGTCCAACCTGCAGTACAGCTTGCTGTTGGTCCTGGGCCTCCTCCTGACGGAAGTTGTGCGGTCCTGGTCGCTTGCAATGACTTGGGCATTGAATTACCGAACTGGCGTCCGCTTGCGGGGAGCCATCCTGACCATGGCATTCAAGAAGATCCTTAAGCTAAAGAACATTAAAGAGAAGTCCGTGGGTGAGGTGAGTGCGGGAGTGTGCTCTGGAGCAGAGAGCGGTTCCCAGCTTGAGCCACATCTTTCCCAGGGGTCTGCTGGTCCTTCATCTTCCTCCGGAGACAAATGACACCCCTTTGTCCTTGCAGGGCTCTCTCATTGCTCTTTGTATCTTGTAGCTTATCAATCTTTGCTCCAACGATGGACAGAGGATGTTTGAGGCAGCTGCTGTTGGCAGTTTGTTGGCTGGAGGACCTGTTGTTGCCATCTTGGGCATGATTTATAATGGAATTGTCCTGGGACCAACAGCTCTCCTGGGCTCAGCTGTTTTTATCCTCTTCTATCCAGCAATGGTGAGTAAGCCTCCTAACTGTATCTTGGCAGCTTCTCTGAAGGAGTTGAATTACTTCCACTGGGCTGTAGTGGGCTCAGTCCCTGGCTGGAGATTCCCTCAGGTTGGTGCCTGGGTTGGGAAAGTCTCGTGCGAGCGGGTGCTCGGTCCATGTGCACAGAATCTTGCTCGAGAAGAAGTGAGCTGTCACTTGTGTAAAGGCACTGGTTTCCAGTGACGCTGAAAACCAGTCTTGAGTGAGGGAGGCCAGCAGGGCCCTGCCCGAGGTAGCACGGAGTGTTGAGTTCCTCGTCTCCTCATCTCCAGTTCCTGCTGACTGAGGCAGTGCTCCTGCTTCCTTGCACAGTGGGAGCACTTTTCTGTGAGCACCTCGAAGTTATTTGTGTTCACTGTCAGACAGTGAGATAAGAACTAAATAATGTTTGTGGCTCTGTTGTTCACTTTAATTTGAAAAACAATGTGAAAAACAGGATAATATCCGTGATTCACTTTGAATGGCTGATTTGGCATAGTGTTGCTTTTCCTTTCAGATGTTTGTATCGCGGCTCACTGCGTATTTCAGGGGAAAATGTGTGGCCGCCACAGATGAGCGTGTCCAGAAGATGAACGAAGTTCTCACCTACATTAAATTCATCAAAATGTATGCCTGGGTCAAAGCGTTTTCTCAGAGTGTTCAAAGTGAGTGTAAAGATTTCCTGTGTGGACATCTTGAAAGGATTTGGATTCTTGGGGTCTGTTCATCACACGCTTTGCTTCCTGAGCACATTAGACAGATAATACTACAATTTCTAATGTCTAGGATTATAATTTAGAATCTTTATGTTCAAAAGGAATCTCAGAGACTTGAACCTATAACTTCATCCCACAAATGAGGTTATTGAGACCTGGGAAAATTGTGATGTCCCCCACCACCCAGGATAACAGAGCTAGTTAGAGTAATTCCATTACAGAATCCCCAAATTACTCTCTTACCCTGCCCAAGGTTTTCCAGCCTGGCCATGAGGAAGGATGTCACAGATAATGATATCAAACACTGCTGAGAGTTCCACTAGCCCCCACTACTCTATGGCTGCAGATGTGCCAAAGATGGTTGTGTGACCCTACGGGTGAGCTTGGACGTCAGCATGCCTGGACTCTGGTCCTAGCTCTGCCACTCACTAGACTCTGGTTTACGTTTTTCTTTCTTTCTTTTTTTTGGGGCAGGGGTACAGTGGATAGAACTTGGGTTCTTGCACTTGTGAGGCAGGGGGCAGAACCACTGCGCTAAATCCCAAGCCCTGGTTTATGTTTTTAAATAATTGATTTATGTTGCATCACAAGGTTCTCAGTACCTGACCCAGTCCTTAGTGCAGGCACAAACATAGCAAATATGTAGGTGCCGCAGGCTGGGAGGAGCAGTTACCACAGAATACTTCCTACTCCATGGTCTCTGGTATTCTGTGGTTGCTCTGTTAATAAGGGAGTCAGTTTTGCAAATACTTAGGAAAAATCATTCCGTGTATAGAAATTGTAGCTTACCTGTCTTCTTCCAGTCCTCTTTACTGCTTTTCGTGTAGAATTTCCTATGCTAGTGCCAATTTACAGCAGGCATTTTAAGAAATCTGAGTTCTTTTTAAATTCTCCAGTGCTGGGTAGTTCTCCCTCTGATTCCTGAAGCAAGAAACAAAAACAAAAACAAAAAATCTAGGTAAACCAACAAAACTGTCCATTGTGGTAGATACAATTACCATATTAATTTCTTCTAAACCCAAGAGAGAGAATCGGAGAAAGGCTGGTGATTGCTTTCCATTAGAGTCTTTTCCTATAGCTTGATCCATTTCAGACCTCACCTTTAATGTAGCATTGACAGTTACATTAAACCAGCGTCTGCACACTGGGGTTAAAGGGTTGTTTTAAAACTTGTGTCTGAAGACCAAGTCTTGTTTAGTGCTGGAAAACAATATCCCAAGGTTTGCTACTTTTTATTCACAGAAATCCGAGAGGAGGAGCGTCGGATATTGGAAAAAGCTGGCTACTTCCAGAGCATCACTGTTGGTGTGGCTCCCATAGTGGTGGTGATTGCCAGTGTTGTGACATTTTCTGTTCACATGACCCTTGGCTTCGATCTGACAGCAGCACAGGTCAGGGAACCTCGGTGGGGTGTTTTAGAAATACAGTATGTAGGACGCTCTGGACCTCTTGCTACTGCATTTGGAGGTCCCTATTTTGTTGCCAGGCGTGGTGGCGCATGCCTGTAATCCCAGCACTCAGGAGGCTGAGGCAGGAGGATCACTCATTTTCTGTTCACATGACCCTTGGCTTCGATCTGACAGCAGCACAGGTCAGGGAACCTCGGTGGGGTGTTTTAGAAATACAGTATGTAGGACGCTCTGGACCTCTTGCTACTGCATTTGGAGGTCCCTATTTTGTTGCCAGGCGTGGTGGCGCATGCCTGTAATCCCAGCACTCAGGAGGCTGAGGCAGGAGGATCACTCTGAGATCAAGACCAGCCATTTTTTTCATGTATGTGCTTAAGCTGAGAAGTGAAGTGCACACGTAGGGAACGAGTCCTTATACAAGACAGTGTGTGGGTTTACTTCAGAAAAGACAGATCAGTGCTGGGGATTTAGCTCAGTGGATTTAGGTCACTGTGCCCTGTGCCTGCCTTACAAGCACAAAATCCTGAATTTGATCCCTGGTACCAAAAAAAAAAAAACAAAAACAAAAAAACAGAAAAGAAAGATCAACCTGTGGCTCAGATTTACTGAGAAAAAAAATTTTTTTTTTGTGCCAGGGATTAAACTTGGGCCCTTGCACTTGTAAGACAGGCAGCAGAACCACTGAGCCAAATCCCCGACTATGAGTGTAGACTTAACAGACTTCCTTGTAGCCTAATCCAACTTCTCAGAAAAGTTTCTTCCTTCTTTTTTTGGTACAGGGGATCGAACTTGGGACCTTGCGCTTGTGAGGCAGGGGGCAGAACCACTGAGTTAAATCCCTGGCCCTTTATTGAGAATTTTAATTGTTGATCTCATAAAAACCCTAAATGAAAAATGCATCTGGCCGGGCGTGGTGGCACACGTCTGAGATCCTAGCACTAGGGAGGCTGAGGCAGGAGGATTGCTGTGAGTTCGAGACCAGCCTGAGCTACATAGTGAGTTCCAGGTCAATCTCAACTACATAGTGAGACCTTGTCTCAAAAAACCAAAAAAAAAAAAAAAAAGAA